CCCCCCCCCCCTTTTTTCTATTTCATTCCTGATTTTTTTTTTTTTTCTTACCTAGAAAGGTGCTAAGGAGATAAGTGTAGCAGAGCAACTTGCTCTTTTAGTTTTCTAAGTCATTATTTATTTAAAATGTAAAGCTGGCAAATACTGTTATGGCCAATCCAGCCTAGTGTTCTTTAATGTGAATGAACGAGAGGTGTGGTGAAGGCATCTCAGGACATATTCTCCAGGGCTTTGGGAGTGCCTATATTATGTAGCATTAGCAGTAGTGCCTTCACCTCTAGCTTTCAGGTATACCGATGTTTGAATTGAATACAGCGCATCAGTCCCATGTCCTTACCGTACACCCTATATACCCTATTATACCCTTCTGTATAAATCCCTCCCTGAGCTAGAAGGTGCTTCACTCCTTTCTGAAGACAGACATTGCCGCTTTCCTGTGGCAGACATTCATGCTGTGCAAGCAAGGAGGGAAATCCCGTTGGGATGCTAGCAGAGTTCAGGAGGAAGACACCTGTGGAGCCAGGAGCTGTTCCCTGCTCATATTTAGGTGCTTCTCAAGGCAGTTTCCCCTTACTTTCCACACTCCTTCTGCTGGTCCGGTCCTAACAGGCCAGATGTGCAACAGGAGGCCCTAATACACGGCAGCAACCTGCCCTGTCAAAGTTGTTCTTCGGCAAAGATCTTGGGGTAGATGCAGTATGCAGTCACTGCCGATCACTGCCAAAAGATGAATCCGCTTTATATTTTGCAGAACGTTGTGATTGTTTCTATGTTGGCTATTATTTAGACTATTATTGTTGACTGTTAATTACAGTTGTATTTTAAAAACCAGAGGCTAGATGTCTGGCATTTTGCTGCATTATCCATAGTCCAATAGAAGTCAGTCCACATCAAAAAAGCCCTGCTTACCACTCCCTTAGTTGAAGGGCTGTTAAGTTGAAGGTGGTGCACTTTAATCATGTTAAGTTTGGCAGCGTTACCTCCTGCAATCATGGAAGGGAGTTCTGCTGGGTAGTCTCTTCCCTTTTAAGTGGCTAGGGCTCAGCAGGGTACTTTGTGGCAAGCCCTTAATGCACTTCTGAATGCTGTGAATTTTTCCCCCCCCGATTGCTAGTAAGAATTTATGTTTTGCTAAAAGCAGCTTTACTGAATTGTTCAGATCTGGCTACACTGAAAAGTATGTAATTTGCATTGACCAAAATAAAAGAAAATTGGGAGTGTTTAGGTTTGAGTAAGTTAGGGGTTGAATACCCTTACCAAAATCCTACTGAGATCTGTGTGTAGGAAGTCAGCAGTGTTTCCTGAAAACATACAGTGTCCTGAGGTGCAGCTCTTCCATTGTTAAATGAAAACTGATTCCCTTGTTACAGTTTGTGATAAAAAGTGAATCTGCAGGATGGCTTTCAGGGCAACAATTTTCATATCTGTGAGCGTGCTTATTATTATAACCGCATTGGTTAGGTATGCATTTACCAACTCCTTAATTCTTTTTAACTGAAATAGTTACTGGATATCACATATCAGAATGTTACAGCCCATTTTCCCTCCTGTATAGGAATAAGCTATTGCGGTGTAAGCACATTGTACGTGGGGGTAACTGCCCAGGTTGTAGCTGGGGCTTGGATGGGGAGCGGCTTGGAGGGAGGGAAGATGTATTATTGCTTTAACTTAAATCTAAATCTGAAAAAATTGTAATTCACCAAGAATTGCTTTTTTTTTTCTGACACTTTTTAGGAAGTGCAGACTTGAGATACAAGTTGAAGAAATAGCTCAAAGCATTCAATTATAATACTTATGTAAAAGTTTAGAGATATGCAGATGAGATGTTTGTAAGGTGGTGTTATTGCTTGCTTTTTCTACAGAGGGAGCATTTAACATGGACACCTAAGTTGGAAGCCCAGGTTTTTCAGAGGTGCTGAGCACTTAGCTGAGATGGATGTGAACCACAGGTGCTCAGGACCTCTGAATCTCTTACATTGGTGTCTCCAACCAATGAGTGATAGCTCTTCTCTCTTACAGTGGTTTTATTACAAAGTGCAATATGAGAGAAGAGGTCCTAGGGAGATCTTTAGCAGTCGTTGCCACATTTCTGTTTTAAGTAGTATTGAGCATAGGTGTCTTTGGTGCTCTGCCTAGAAAGGTTTATCTGTTTCCCTGCTTCTTTCTTCAGTGACATTGGTCACTGTCCCTCGGGAATGTGCTAGAAGTCTCACCTGCACCTGGCCTGCAGGTAGTGAGTGATTCATGCACAGGATTGCTTGACTTTTCAGCCAGAAGTTCTGGCACCATTTATCCCCAGAAATAGCAAGTTTTGTACTTTGATTTGTATTTAAATATAGTATGGGAACCATGAGCCTCCCAACTAAATAGTGCCACTCAGTACATTATAGTGCTCTGCAGTGAGAAACCATATGCATATGCCTACACTCTCTGTTTTGGTAACCAGAGGTACACATGCAGCATTTCCTCCTAAAAATCTTTCCAGTTTTAAGTGCCTCTTCTCAGTTGCGCTCCGTGATTCGTTCACTAATGCACCCAGCATATCGTCCTTTTCTTATGCTCTCCGTTCAGAAATCTCAGTGTCCCTCCTCTGCTGGGGGTATATTATCAAGCTAAATTTAGCCTGGCCAATGCCGTTACATAAATGTAAAAGAGCCTCTAGCACAGACTCCCTAATGCTTATTTCTTCCGACTGGTGGGTGTTCCCAAGAAAGACTGTTGTGAACTTTCAGCCTGCGTGTATTACATATTTATTATGCTGCATGACTCTGGTGGAAAACATGGTGCAGCTAGCCAGCGTGCTCTCCAGCCTTCTGCATCCAAACACTGATAGTTTTTGCTACTGAGGCGCTATCCTTGCAGAAAAAAAACGGCTATTGGACAAACCAGGGCTCTCCAAGGAGATGTAGAGTCCTCCAGGATTCCCTGTTTGCATGTATGTGGAAATGGAGTGTTTCAAAACCCACGGTGGGACCTTGCTTTTGCCTGCTCACTTTGCCTGTTCAGAGCATCTCTCCGGTCCTGGAAGAAGACAAATGCTGTCACTTAAGGCCTTCAGTGAAGGCCGACCATTTTGGAAGAGGGCACGATGAAGTGACTGAAAAAAAAGATTCAGAGCCAGGGCACTGGTCTCTGTTCTGGCTTTACTCCTGATTTGTTGCATGGGCAGAGCAAGGCACTCCCTCAGTCCTGTGCATGCTCTTTAGCTACCTGAGCATCTGCAAGCAGTGTCAGGATCCTTGAGAAGGCGGTGCTGCAAGGCTGCTTGCTGTCAAGAGCAAGAATGAGAACCACAAATGATGTGGAGATGACACACTTCGTGCCTGGAACATCTCTAGGAGCCTAGATGACCTTTGGGTAGCTGCTTTTCTGCTCTGGAAATCCTCTTGTGGTTATCTGCTCACGGAGACTGGAATTTACCTTGCTCCTTAGGAAGTGAGCGAGAACATGCCTGTAACTACCTGTTATTGTCTGGCCAGTAGGATGGTCAGCTGCCTCTAGCTAGGCTATTCTGGCCATCAGCTTGCTGTCTGTATCTGATTTTGATTAGTACAGTCAGCTGTTACGTTTACAGTCCTTCTTTTCTGCCAGATCATAAGCGTGTGTGTGCTATTGCCCTGGTAATGTGCGTTTCCTGCCCACATACATGTATGGACACTCAGTGCCTGCTACACTGAGCAGATGCTTCACTAGCTTCAGAATCT